TGGCTAAGGAGATACTAAGAATCCAGCTAAATGTCTCAGCTTCTGAGGTTTGTATTGAACCAAACAGAAAATGAATTAACCTTTTCCTAGCTTTATGAAATTATTCCCACCTCATTCTTACTGTTATACTTACTACACTGAGTTTCACTTCGAATAAACTGAATTGTGTGATGTACAGTCACTGTCCCCTGCTGCCCTTACCTCAGTCAGATGTCCCTTTTCAAACCTAGGAGAGGGTAGGAAAAGTCTGTGTATGTGGTCCAGGTCCAGTCATGCTATTGCATTAGAATTTCTACCTGTTTAGAGTGAGGTTTCTGAAGGTTTACTGCAAATTCAATAGGAAAGCACACGCAGCTTTTAAAGAAGACAGCTGTAAGTATCAGCCACAGCCAGCTGACCAGTGTGGTGTGTGGAGCTCAGCAGCCTGACATGTCTATAGGTCATGATGGAGCATTTCATGTGTACTCCCTAGCTCTCCATATTTAAAGGTGGTGGTTGCTGTACAATCCACTACTTCAGGCTGGAAGGCACTGTACCCTGTTGTTCATGCTACTCTTCTCCAAACAACTTTATGGTGACAGCCGAGAGATCTCCATTGCTTCATAAAATTAACTGTGATAATCATATGTAAAATGAGAAAAAAAAAAGTGTATGCATACATTTTATATACATTTTATTTAGATCCATGTCCAGAAGTTTTAAGTGATATTCCCTGACACATGTAGGTGAGAAAGCTTCTGAAGTGCCTGTGTGCTCTCTGCCCATTTCTTTTTTCCTGAATACTTCAGTGCAGGTGGGCAGTAGGGTCTGGCTGAAGCTTTGGTTAAGTCACTTTGAGCTGTCTGCAGTTCCCCAGGGAGCTGGTAGTTGAACCCTGTGGGGAAGAGCTGCTCTAAGGAGAATAGTTGACCAAAGTATTTTCCAATGTGCAGCTCGGGAAGGCACTCTGTACTCCTTTCAGACTGTAAGCTCACTTGAAGTCTTGTGGCCAATTAGACTAGTGGGCAAAGACCACTTGCCTGTCAGGCTGACAATTTAGCAGGCTGGAGAACATAATAAACAAAGACTGCTGCTATAGAGGAGGAAATAGCTTCCTCTTGCCTCCTTCTCCGCTGCAGCCCCAGCCATCAGCCAGTGCAGGGCTTCCTGGCTCTCAATGTGGCAAGTTCAATGCATGGCTGTCAGTTGGGTGCAGCTGCACCTTCTGAGATGAAAATAAGATCTTGATAAGAAAGAAGCTCCTCTTAACGCATCTAGCTTTTATTGTTCATGATGGCTGATGGTTGTGTTACCACATGGCTCCCCTACACCCACTACTTTTTCTCACATGAAATTAAAAATTAAAACAAATCAAAACAAATTCTTCTCAACATTTAGGAACTTAGAGATTCTTTGCTAAAATGCTGATACACTTGTTTGTTTGTGTTTTTAACACTAGTAGATTTAACTGTGAGAGACTAGCCTTACATTCCCAATTGTGGAATTCCAAGAAAGTGGCAAATTGTCTTCCTCTCGGTCTAAAATTTGATTACAGATTAATATTTCTGCTTGAATATATATTCTTAAATAAAGAGATGATGCAATTTCTAGGCTGAAGTGGTGACAAGAGGCCAAGACTCTTGAATTTTAAAGAAATAATTATTTTTACTCTACATTCTGTAACTTATATACTCTTATATAGACTTAAATATGGCATGTGATAAGTACGACATAAAATTTCTCAGAGAGAGAAGAGTCATCATTTTCAAATGTGATGCTATTCATTGTAAGCTGCAGCCCATAATTAGTTTCTCTGGATATAGTCAGCAGCATTGTCACATCCACCCTGACTTCAATGTCCTGTTACTAAGAGAGGTCACTTGAGTAACTGAATAACAGATCTGGGATTGTGTTGTGGTTATGTTAACAAATCAGTTATAAAGATTCAAATATTGTTACTCACTTCGGTAGTTGAAAGCATTTCACATGCATGAGTACAGGTGTTGCAGAAGTATATGATCATGGTCATAAAAATGATCAGATTCCAATAATCTTGTCTAGCTATTTTAATCTACAATAATTATCAACTAACAATTCAGCAAACCATGTACTAATAATTTACTAGCCCATGATAAGCTGTGTGTAAGTGTGTCCTTGGTATGAATCTTGACTCGGTATCAATCTGACAAATAACAAAATCAATTAACTCTCTGGACTGGCCCTGTGCTCCTTGTTAGATCCTATTCCATATGTATTTCTTTCTGAATCAGGAAGAGTATACCTGAACATTTGATCATTTCATTAATTCATTTAACACCACTGAAAGGGAAATCATGTACTGCCTCACAGGTTCTTTGATTTGGGAGTTTAGTGCTTAAGCAGAGCAACACAAAAATACTTGGACCATTGAGTATGTACAACGTACACATATAGACAGCCTCAGACTCAGTATCTTTCTACTGTTTTTTTTACTGTTCTTTTGATCTCTCTGAAGCTTTTTGACTCATTTATAGAATCTTTTATAGAAACACGGTTCATACGTTAAAAGATTGCAACTTAAACCTTACTCTATAAAATTAAAATCTTTCCCAAATAAGTATTCTTCCAAAAACTATTCAATTTTGTATGAAAGAGTACTACCAGATTTTCCCCATTTCCATGGGTGGACGTATGAAAGCTTGGTGTTTCAGCCATAGCATATTTTAGATAAAGGTGTTTTTATATACTTATGATAAAGTCATAGGAGATTTTTCTCTCTTCCTCCCCAAATTACTTAAAATTATGATAGAATTTTAAAATTGAAATCTCAGAGCAATTTAAAATTCAAAAACATGGTAAATAAACACTGTTAAACAAAAAATATTATGGTAAATATTGGACTAATTGTAGTAAAAATAAACAGGAACTTGTGTCTCTATGTACCTGAATGGAAGCCCAGTGAATATAAGATTTACAATATAATTGCACAGTATGTACTATACAATTTAGTTGCAACAATGGCAAAGAGGAGTATTGCTGCCTTGATGGATTGACAGGACGTTTATAAAGTAAATACATTAGTTATCAGCAAAACATGGTATGACAATTTGCCTAACTGTTGGAAATAACCTACATAATGACTTAAATTGAACATAGCCACATGCAAACACTGGGTAGTAACTGCATAATTTCTACCCTTTCAGTAAATGATATGTACCATGTGTTTGTGAGATTTTCTGTATTCAAACAACTGATTTAACACTGACATGAAACAGAGCAATTCTGCTGGCAGAACACATATATATATACACATATAAACACACAGACACAGAACTGCATCAGAAGAAAATCTCCCCCCAATTATCAGTGAAAATGAAGCCTAATTCTAAATATATATCTTTATTTAAATTTAATGTTATCAACAGTAATAAAGAAAGAGTACTATTATAGGCATTCATTTAAAATGAAAAAAGGTTGCACAAGTGAGAGCATGAAAATCAGCTTTGGCCGGAGTCCTATAAAGTACAGCAGGCATGCAGGTCCACACAGGTCCTATTGAAGTAAGTGTGGATACATAGTAACTGATCCCATGTCTCTGACTGACCAAAGTTCTCAGCAAGATCAGTGGCATTTTATTCACATTCTGGGTGGTGATTTTTACTGGAAATTGACACATATTCACATTGCTGCAGGAGTATCCTTCTTTCCCAATGTTTGCTGGACTTCACAAACTTTTGAGACTATAACTTGAAATTAGGTTAGAAAATAACAGTAAAAAAATGAGTGTAAAATATCATAATATTTTTGTAATCTAATACTACGTTTTTCTGTATTTTATGGAAAAGTGTTTTAAATCTATTGGATTTTCTACTGTAGCAATCTTGCTTTATGAAAAATATTTAAACATAGCTATTACCAGTGGAATTTTCACACGTAAAGCCAAATTAAAATGTGATAAATATATATAAACACATATATCTATAAATATATACATAGATATAAAAATAATATACATACATATGTCCATATATAGGCATGTATCTGTATAGAAATATATATACATACATCTGTATGGGTGTGTGTATATATATGTATTTTTTAAAGTAGAACAGTGCCATTTTCTTGGAAGCAACAGTCTTGATTAGAGTGCAACTCGCATCAGTAGCTTTGGGGTAGCAGGCAATACACTGTGAGCACTGAATAAAAGTGCAAATTCTCATGTGACTTTCAAAAATCTCATTAATAAATTCCAGTTTTAGGTAATAAAGTCTCTGTCCAGTCCTCCTTCCCCTTCCCCCATGGGATCAGCGTCAGATTGCAGGCTCTCAACTGGGCCCCCATACTAGAAATTATCATAATCCAGGCCTAAGCTCCAACCTATTCACCCAAGACCTAGGTAATTAAATTATAGTAATGTTGGTTAGATGAAACCATCAGATGTCATTAATCTGTCAGTTTTACCCAAACTCAACTCTGTGAACTGTTTGAAGAGAGTGGTGACTTTGTCATTTGAGGATTGAGACCAGTGTCTCAGTTACATTTTATTTCCTCCCAGGAAGTCACATATATTGAATTGCTAATACTGTCAGTCACTTAATACTTTTTATTGTTTTTAAACGCCTCTTAAGTATTCCAATCCAAAGCCAAAAATAAATGTTACAGAAATCTTTCAACCAACGAGTTTTTTATATCATGATGTTAAAGCAATGGATTTGCTGTATTGTATGGACTTTACCCAAGACACATGGATCCTGTTTAACAGTATTAGCTTTTTCTTTTTTTTTTTTGCAATTAATTAGCTTTCTATTCTCTTTCGCATCATGACAAATGATGGCGAGTAAAGATTCTCTTCTATCAAAACAACAAGAAACTGCTGAATATTCTTGAAATATGTGTGGGGAAACCATTAAAAGAGTAACTTTATGTAAAGGTACAGGTGAATGAACTGGATAATTAGTGTATCATTTCAGAGTTTACAGACTGGGAGGCTTAGCTCCCCAGATAAAATGATTCACCTAAAATAATGTTATGATTTATTTTAGGCTGTTTGATCATTCCATGGAAGGATTCAAAAACTGGGAGTTTATGACTACTCACTGCTGGAGTGAAAAAGCAGCAGGTGACTGGATCTTGGAAATCTGTGACACTCCATCTCAGCTGAGAAATTTCAAGACGCCAGGTATGACTCTAACCTTTATTTGGGCTCAGTGAATTCAGAAGAATGCTTGCAATTGCTAATACTGCCTTGACTGCTGCCTTTTATTTACAGCTGGAACATTTCACCAGTTTGAGCTCTGTGAAGGCAGAGCTGTGAAGAGCATTATTCTCAATTTCAGTTATCAATGAACTCTTCATTTTTATGTTGCTGTTATTTGCCATTTAAGAGATGTGGTTCTCTTTTTTTCTTAACTTCTGGTTTCCATAGAGAATTTAATCTTCTCAGGGGTAAACTGACCTCTTTCTTGCAGTCACATGTGTTGCCTTAATGTATAAAAAGAGACCGTGGCCATTTAGAGCTACATCATACCACACATTAATTCTTCAAGCATCTGTACCATCTGACAGGTTACTGAGAGTCAGTGCTTTAAACAAAGCCAAATCTTTACTAGGCGCAGTTTTCAAGGAAAAAGATGCAAAAGTGCATGAAACTGCGTGTACCGCATTTGAAAGTTCTAGTATCTCCATATGCATGCATCTGTTTTCTTGGATGGTGTATATAGATTTCTCAAATAGATCTTCAACATAAGTTAGAGCAGCCCAGAGTTACTTTGCTGTATTCATATTGCTTCTGACTTTCATGGCTGATATACAGCCCATATGTACTTGGCCTATATCACCTATATAGGGCCCAGGGATTTATTTTCATGTTGGTTTTCCTTGCTTTGTATTTTTTATCCTACCCATAAGAAGTGGCATATGTCAGTATTTACACAACTAGAAAATCCCACTATACAAGAGAAACAAACTCATGGCTTGCTACCACTGGTAGGTTGCATTGTGTTCCTGTGTGTATGGGCAGAGTGCTCAGACCTGGCATTCGTCCACTCACAAACTGTGCTCCTTCCTAGTGAGAATTTTTGAGGCTACAGATGTTCTGCTTTTAATTGACACTGCACAGGTCAGATTCATTCACATACTTCAGTATGAACACTTTGAAATAAATGGAGATTGAGAGAAGGGCTTTCAAAGAGACTCATGGGAGTACATGCTTACTTGTATTTGCTGGTTATGAGAGATTAATATACACTTGCCTTTGCATTTATTGAAAATTTAAACCTTAAAAAACATTTTGAAATGTCACTGTTTATGCATGAATACTGAATATAGTCCTTCTTTCAGAGCACCCCATCAAAGTGGAAACCCTTTAATAAAAATAATCAATGGTGAAATAGCACTTAAATAAATAATCTAGATTAAAACATGTTAGAGAGATGAATAATACATACGTATTGGAAATAATTTATCACTACATCTAAATTAACACTTACTCTGACTGGACAGTATGTCAAAATTCAATAGTATTACATTGGAAGTGACAAATCTAGTTGATTACTGCTTTCAGATAGATAAAAATTAATTATAAGAATTGTGCTAATAAATATATTTGGGACTGCAATGACATTATGAATAGAATTAGTTTTTAATTCAGTGAAATAAAAGACATTCCATCTCAGGCAGCTAAGTAAACTCACAAAGCAGTCAGAGTTTTCTAAGTGATTTGCTAAAAATCAATTCTGAATTTTAAGACACAGATGTTAACTTAAAGTACTTGAAGCTCTAAAAAAATATCTTTGCTAACTTAACAGTAGGAGATTTTCACCTATGTTTGTTTCTGAACTGGCAGGTTATCAGAAGTCATTAAAAATATTCAAATGAGCCTCACTAAATACTTCTATTGTTTCTACTACATGAAAAGGCACACATAAAGAAACATTGACTAAAATGCTAATGGCAGTGCTTAAAAGCTTTGAGTTTAAAATGAGAAAGGCTAGCGTGATAGGGCATGTCCCTGTAGTTGATTATTCTGGAACAATGTTAATTGTTTCAATTCTCCTTTGTCCAAGAAGGGCCCATTAATGTTTCTGCCAGCAGACACAGAGGTTGACTACTTTTTGTTCCTCTTGGTTGAAATTCGGTTTGTTAAATTAGTTCAGATTGGAATGAAGGCTATGTGCAGTTCATCTGTTCAAGGTAAATGTGCCTTTCTGGGAGGCCAGCTGGTCCAGTCACTCCTGCAGCTTATGGACTGTTTCGATCATGACTTAGAACAAGCAAGGGCACAGGAGGAATTCTAACATGTGAACATGGAATTGTCCAGTCTCCTTCTTCAAGCAGTGCCTAGACCAAACTCAGCTGGGTTTATACATTTTACTGTGGACGAAAATGAACTCTCTCATTTCAAAATTATGTCAGAATTGAAGTGCTGATTTTATGCTAATTTTCTGTGTAAAAAATCTAACACACAGGTCAGCCTCACTCAACTGCTGTTGAAATTGACGGAATTGAATGACAATTTTGGTTCTTTATTTCTGCTCTTCTTTAGCTGAGTTATGTTACTTTTTAATGCAGCAGATTGCCAGATAGCCAATCTCTCTGCTTTTTAAGAAAGTTTCTCTGCCTGTCTGGCCATCACATCTTATTATCTTATTACCTGTCTCAGTTGTTTACATAACCTGATGAATTTGATTTTAGGATGCGAAAACAGCAGTAATAAGGCAAAATTTTTGAAACCTGTTATGAAATATGAGGCAAATAAGTCCCTATTGAAGACCAAGAAAATCAGTGTGATTTTCAAAATTGCTAAGCAGCGAACATTTTATTAAAGTCTGTGGTAACTCTAGGGTGGCCAGTGTTATTTAAATGTCAGCTGTATACTCAAGTGGTTAACTTTAAATATAGCATTTTGAAAATCTTGATTGTCATCCTCTAGAGCTCTGGAAGGAAAAACCAGCTAGAGTTTCAATTTTCAGTTAATTTTATCTGCACTGATCACTTCTCACCATGAGTTGCCGTGGTGAAAAGCTCTTAGCTAAGTGATGTTAATTGCACCAGTAAATGAAGAGCAATATTTCTAGCACGCTAAAAAGGGGTATTCATTGAATGTATCTGGAAAAGCTGCCATAGACTCTGAGCAGAACTGTTCAAGGATTCTGGGGAATGTTTGGTATTTAGGGTGGGTTTTTTTAAGTTTCAATCCTTTAGAATTTCATAGAGGAGAGGTGTTAAACAGCAACGAAGTAATTTATTTTTAATCAGGTTACTGAAAAGAGACAAAAATCATAGAATCATAGAATCATAGAAATCAGAAAAATCAGTTATTTTCAACTCCATCTTGCACTTGTTATTCTTGATGCAGCCAGGAACATCTCTGGCTTGAAGGACAAGTTAGGGCAGTTCTTCACCACTGTGTGTACAGGAACCCAGTGGTTCATACCCAGCAGGCATGAAGGAAAGCTATAGTGCAACACATTTCAGCTGTTCCCCTCTTCTGTCTTCCCTGGCATGCTCCCTGTACTAAAGGCTAGAAAAGAGGTAGCATAGAGCCATTTTGCAAACTTTTCATCCAGGCTGTTCTCCAGACATCTTTTACAGCCCTTTTATGCCACCAGGACAGTGACCAGCTACATTTCCAGCTTTATACTTTATTGCTTCACACTCCTGTTTTACATATGTAGTTGTACAGGTCTTACTGATTTCCTGGTTTCAATACTCTATATATACACTCTTTTCAGTGCTACACTGGCTAATCTCATGGGACTGATACCTTTGCTCTGTGAGGACTAAAGCCTAAAGACACAACTCTGGAAGAAAAGGGGCGTAAGGCCAGGGGATGTAGAGAAAGTAGACCTGCCCAACCAAGGCTTGTGGAGAAGGTGATACACTGAAGGAATCCTGCTGGAGAGCTTACCCTTTATTTCTTTTTAACTGCAATCTTGGTTCATTGCATACTGTTTAGTAATATGTCCCCCAACTTTCTAGAGCAGTGGTTACCCTGTGATGGATGCTGTCCAGTAACACTTCTCTTCAGAAAGAAGTGCCTGACATATATCAGTGGTGGATAAACTCAGCTGTTTAGGCATGTTGGAGTCAGTCTCTGCACTGAGCAGAACATGAAATAAACAAAAGGTGCTTAAACAGAATTTATAGTGCCTCTCCAGTTTATCACTGTAGCCTGCAGTTTATCACACTGGTATCACCATCATGCCTGTTTCTTGTTTCTGTTGTGCTCGTGTCTTTCTTTAACTATTGAAAGGTCTTATAATTAAGAGCTGCAGTTTTCCTGTAATCAAATTGAGAACAAAGAGCCAACATGTCATCATATCCCTGCGTTGGCAGGTAATGCCACATCTGTTACGCGTAAAGAAATGCAGGGTCCGGTTCATAAAAGTAGTGCATGTGATTTCTGCATTTAATTCTGTAAAGTTTATGGAGGTGGACATGTGCTTGCTGTGAAACACTGTGATATACCCCTTCTCCTATACATACAAAATGGGACCTCTGTTAAATGCTAAATACAAGCAGGGTAAAGGATTATTCTGGCCAAACTAAGTGATGAAATCAGCCAAAAATGGGGAAAGAAAGATTTTGGCTTAAATGTGCATGCTCTGTTTATTCATTATAAAAGTGTGTGTACGTATATATACTTAGTTACTGAAATATTTTCATTGTGCAAATTAAACCTGCCTTGAGGCAGACTTCATTTATTTACAGGCAAGTCACATGAATTTTTTTCCCCATTTATTTACTGAACCATTCTTAAAAGGAAACTAATCTCCTGAGAGACACTACATTATTCCACTCACTTGTCTTTGCATTAGGTATACATTCAAAGCACCAATCCTTCCTGTAATAATAATGTTAGTACAAGAGTTTCCATGTGTGTAACTCATGTGTAACAGCCATGATACACTGTTTCTGAGGACCATCTTTACCTGTGGTTATTTTTAGTGGTTCCTTGCAAATACTTTTTTCTAGTATTCAGTATTTTTGACAGTGTTCTGGAATAAAATCAGCCCTTGGAAAGTTTAATGATCTTTAGAGCATAATAATGAGAAGGATGAAAAGGTCTGAATAACTTAGCAAAACTCACACTTTTTGATTGCGTCCAATGTATTTTGATCCATATGCTGTAGAACTGGTTTAAAACACAAAAAGGATGGAGAATGCGGAGAGGCTGTAGCTTTGAAAAGGTTGCAGACATCATGCATATCTGGTTAAAAAGAAAAGTGCCTTTAAGGACCTAGCTGAATCACTGTAAAGAACATTGAGAGGTAACTTGATCCCCATGTGTCTAAAAAAAACGTGATTTGGTCTTTTTAATCTAAAGAGCTACATGGCTGTGAGATAGAGGTAGGAAAAAACAAATTGAAAATAAGGTGCATGCAGTTTTACAGCCAAGATAATTAGTCAGTAGTTAGGCAGCAGGTATGATAGACTCTTCATCAGTTAACATTTTAAATCAGGACTGAATCTCTCTTTTTATAGGGTAGTGTTTTCTTTAGCTGTGAAAAGTTGGAAGCTACTGTGTGAAACAACTGTCGTGTCTTGCCTATAGTTTCTTCTCAAAAACTGAGTACAGAGCAGAGAAGGTTTAATATGAAGTCCAGAATTTTCTGTCCCAGAAAGCTTAAATTAGGTTGGCAAGAGACAGAGAGATAACAGAGATCCTCATCTCTAACCCCAGTATAAATGATTTAAAAGAATTTGGCTATCATCTGTCAGGTAGTGGTTTTGCTTATTGTTGCTTACTGATTGATAAAAGCAGAGAGATAATGTATTGTCTTGGTCATGTCAGTGGAGGAAACCAGATGACACTGGGAAAAATACAGAAAATCACTTATTAATGTCAAAGTAATTTGCTTGCATAGGTTGAAAAAGTACAACTGAACAATATGAAAGCTGAGATTATTGAGTGTCATTAAAATGAAAGAAGAGGAAGATTGCTTTAACTTAATTTTACATGAAGTGTACTAAGTGATTTTCTTGAGAAGAGGCATACCTGGATTACATTTATTTTTACAGAATCGTTCTAAGGGAAGAGTATTTTAACCACAGAGCAGCCTCCAAAACACGATCTTTCAAATTCAGATACTCCTGGCTCCTCTGCTTCCTTTTTCTTCTGATGAGAATTTGACATTTACAACTAGCCACTCCACCATATAAACATATTCAAGAGAATAGGATAAGACTAAACTTGTGTTACATCTTTTCAAGCAGGGTTGTTTTTTATGCATCGTTATTTTAGGCATTGTTTCAGGCTCTTTTACAGAATTAATTCACCGGGTAGTATAGATAGAAAGGTGGGGACTGGAATTTCACACTTTGTGTCCCAACAGCCTGAACTGATGAGTTGATATACATTTATCTATTTATTCTTCCACAAAAAAACTTGCCAAAAAGTCAGATAATGCTTCAGGCAGGCAAACAATTTTTTCTTTCTTCACTCAAGTACTGAGAGGATAGAATTATTAGTGATGAACACAGACAATGCAGTGATATACATGACAAATAACTAGGGCAAATAAATAAGAAATTATGCTTGTTTGAGAGGGGACACTGATGTCCTATGATGGAGATTTTAAAATAAGTTGTTTTCTGTTCATCAAGGTGTTTTCTGCAAGCCAACAAAAAGTACTTTTGAGTAATAAACAAAATGTAACAGCTTTCTTAAATCAGAATTCTGAATACAGCTAATTAGATAAGAGATCTCAAATCATAATTAATTATTATTTGGATAATAATCCTAATAATAATCCAGATAATTATCTGGGTAATTAATGTTCTGAGGAAAAGTGAAATACAGAGCAAAAATTCCTTGTTGAGTACCATATACATTTTCCAAATGACTGTGTGGCCAAAGGTTTTGTTGTTTATTGTTTATATTGAGTTCAACCCGTGGTGCAAACTTTTACTAGATCTGCAAGAGACTGGAGCACAATGAAAATACCAGGTAAAAATCTGTTGGAAGTATGCTTTCTCAATTTATAGTGAAGCAGTGATTGCACTATCTATATTAAACTGAAGACACTTATTTGTAAAGCAACATCTTCCATACCTACTCACAAAGTCATGTTTACAAGTGATATGTTTTTCTAAGACACAGAAAACAGAAGTGGTTTGTAAAACTAAATCTTAAATTCTTCTAGGCAAATTGAAAGAGTGGTCCTTAGTACTATATGGAACATCCATCCAGCCTTACTCACCAAGAAATGATTTTCCAAAAGTGGAAAGAGAAAGAAGACCCTACAGAAGATTATGGAACAGATGACTATTCAGGTACGTACATTCATTTATTCTGAATGTGCCTTTACTGGACACATAGTAAGTTGAAGGAGTGACATGAGCATCTACATATGTAAGATGTTCAGTGAACTAGATTCTTAAGATCAGAGCTGTTTGTTTTGTAATTTAAAGTTAGGTATTTTCATTTCATCCTTATGAGTTTGTAAGCATAGGGTTATGTATTTTTAAGCTACAGTTAGCATACTATGAAGAATGCACTGCTTTTCATATAAGTATATAAAAATATACATACATATATATGCACACATATATATATAAATGGAGAACGTTGTCTTCTACATCCGTGTTGTTTCTCACTGATCTCTGTAGAAGTTTTGCAACCTTTCCAATAGACTTTCTGTCACTGCAAAATAAATCAAGCTGGCAGTTTCCTACATGTAATCCATCATTAGGACCATCATGTAGATGGTTAGGGCTGATGAATATTAAGTATAGCTCCAGCAAGCAAACAGCAGGACAAAGTTCAATTTAGATGTTTCTGTTATTACAGTCCCTTGCCACAGCATGTCACCCTTTTTGGTGGAGCCAAATTACTATTTGGAATTCAAATCAAACAGGGAAACAGAGTAATTGCATTCTGCATTAAAATACTATGTTTTAAGGGGTGCTAAATACCAAATGAAAAGTTTTAATCCCTTCCCCCTTGTATTATGGTTTTATTACAGGTCCGTGCAATGCGGAATGCAGTAAAGTAGGGTGTGATGGGCCAGGACCAGATCATTGTACTGATTGTCTGCACTACTACTACAAATCTAAGAACAACACACGGTAAGACTGAGAGAAAAAATCTTTACTACATAGATTTCTTAGTGTGTATCTTAACTTCCTTTTCTCTTGTCTTTGCTGCAGTCATGGATAATTCATTTTCCACTGAATTTGACAAATATTTTTAGGAGAAAAAAAAAATAGCTAATCTGAATTTGAACTACAGACTTCAAACACCCTTCTCTGATTATTTCCACATCTCTTGATTATTTTTTCACAAGAGGCTATATATATATGTATATATAAAATTGTGATAGCTGCTACAGGTTCTGTGATTGAGTTTGAACAAGATAGGAAGAAATGGAGATGGTCAAAAATGATACTGTATGACTGTCTGACAAGGCATTTGCCAGTGAGCGTATGCTATAGGGGAATAAATGGAAGAGAAGAGCCAGCTTGATACAATGCTTTGGAGGGTTATATCTTAGTAAAGACATGATCATGAAAAAGCAGCAATGCTGAGAAATACTTCTGCTTTGCAGTCATGGTCCAGGAATGTGGTGGCAGGTTATTTCATTAACGACTCTGCCTTCTCTTCCCTGCTGTCTGCAGGATCTGTGTTTCGACCTGCCCACCTGGTCACTACAATGCAGACAAGAAACGCTGTAAAAAATGCTCACCCAATTGTGAAACCTGTGTTGGAGGCCATAGTGACCAGTGCATGACCTGTAAATCTGGCTACTACCTGAATGAAGTAACCAATAGCTGTATTACCAACTGCCCTGATGGGTTTTACCTGGATAAGAGTTAGTATTTTTTGTTGTTTCTTTATTGTGGGCTACAGAATTTGATTTGGGGAGGTTGCTGGAATACTTACAAGCAGGAAAAGTGTATGTTGATGCATCTATCTCTTATCCTATTCCTTTTATTAAATTGTTGCCAAGTGTGATCAAGAATCTCCTCAAAAATCTTCCTTCATTTTAAAAACCATGCTTGGTGGCAAGATGTCTTTTCTGCTTGTGGCTGGGAGTAACAATAGCAGAATGAGGGCAGTTCAAGAGCAAGTCACCTGCAGGACAGAGCAGTTTATCACTACTGCAGAAAGGACAGGCAGCACCCACATTCTGAACATGAGACATTCCCCCAAATTTGGATGATACGGCACCAGATAGAGAGCTGAGGAATCCACCCTGGCCACTGAACTGGAGCTCTAAGAAAAATAGGCTTCTCAGATGTAAGACATGATTGCAGTTAATCAGAGATTAATTAGAGACCTACCTACCAGCAGTGATCTGATGACCCAGGAGCAGTAACTCTCTGCTATGTGAGATACCTGCCTTCAGTTTCCTCCTGTGATTGCCAAGTAGACTGCCCGTGTTTAGTTTCCAGCTTTAGTTAGAAAAAATACTTAGACATCTGTTCAAACATGTGCTTAAAACTGCAGTGACTTCAGTTGTCTTTAGATACATCCTTAGAAGATAAATATGTGCTCAGGAGTTTTGTTCATCTAGGTACCTAATCTTTTGCTTTCTGTGTCATGAAGCTGTGCGTTCGTTTTTGAGGGTTAGTAAAAACAGGTACTGCTCTAATTCTTTCATTTTTCACTGCATGAGAACTACAGTAAAGGAAATTTGTTTCCACCCAATTAATACAGATAGATTAAAATTTAGGATTAAATGGAAACATCGGGTTTTTCTTCTCAGAAAGGTACATAGCACTGCATCTCAAAAGGCAGCAAGTCTAAGGAGAAATAGACATCTGTAAAAGCAGGGAGCTCTTGAGATGAAAAGGCAGTTGTTGAGTAATTTATATGTTGACTTTGTTAAGATCAGACCTGTTCATGCAGGTGTGTCTTTAAGCACCAAATCAGGTAAGACAGGACAGGCTTCTTGCATGAGAAGTGTAAGAGGTAAATTGCAGGACAGTTTCTGGAGCACATGGCAGTCATTACTGCATGTCACTGCTATATGAAAAGACGATTTAAGTCCATATTATAAATAGTTAATGTAAACTTAAAATGTTTATGAAGATTTTTTAACAACCTCAAAGCGTATTTTTCTCAGGGTACAAGTATAACTTCAAATGTTAAGAAATAGATTAAAACATTTGATGTTTGATGGAAAAAGTTAATGCTAGGCAGAATTTAACTATTTTAGTCTAGCTTGCTGCTTACCTTCCTGATGTTGAGCTAGAAAGAAGTCATTTAGTAATATATCCATATAATTTTATTAAATATAACTGACCAAGGTTTTTTTGGGCTGTTTTGTTTTTTTCCTTTGTAGATAAGATTGTTTGCCGAAAATGTAGTGAAAACTGTAAGACATGTGTTGAATTCCAAATCTGCACAGAATGCAAACATGGCCTAAGGTAAGGAAATGATGGATGCCACTAAACACAATACCTGAAGAGCCTTAAAAGGCTGTGGATACACAATGAAGAACATCAGATAGCTATTTAACCTTGAGGGGCCCTCATTTAATGTATTCTATCACTGTTTATTATGTAATATAGTATTTTGTTGTGCTACTATGTGCCAGTTTGGCTAACAATGGGGTTTTAGAAGACCTTTGATTTCAGGTAAAATAAAAGCCACAGTCATGTGGAAAGCTGGTTTCTTCACATTTTTGACCTAGAGTGTGTCAGCCAAGGATTTTTTAAGAGGTAGAGCTGATGAATCACATTAATCTTTCTGATTCATTCCTATGATAGTTAGAAACTATTTTCTTATCTTTATTGTATTTCTTCGTACATCCAGTCATTCACTTATCTCAAGTATCTGAGGCTCAATTCTATTACAATGTAGCGTGCACATATTTTAAGAAGCAGTGGATATCGTTTCTTCATGGGAGACTTAAATCATTCTTGAAATGGGTAGATAATACGTACGAAGCATCTGTACACATTTCAGTCTCTTTTATGAATAAATGACCTTTTGATCCAAGCAGGAAAGGTCAAAAATCTTATAAAATTCATGATGCAATGTATGCTGGCTTTATGCCACAAAAAATATTAAGTCAGTATTCACTGTCTGTAGGGGTTCTTCTTGAAGAATACAAGTGTTCAGCGAATGTTTTAGCACTGAGGTTTTACCTTCCATCAAAGTGGATTTTCATCTCTTAGTAAAAGCTGAATGTTTTTTGTTTCTAGGATATCAACAGCTGGATTCCTTTACATTTTGTAAAAGAATTCTCATTTCTGTGTATTTATGTTGCATCTACATTTTGCAAGTGCCTGCACAATTTTTATTACGACTATCACTATTTTTTTTTAAAGTGACCCTTTGGAAAGGAAGTAGAATCCCATTGGAAGGAAAGAATGGGATCGAATCAAAACATTGGTCTATTTACACTCTCTGTGAAATAAGAGCATCTGCTTCCCTTTTAAAATGTTATTCACTTTGCAGTCCATGTTAAGATTTTGGAGAATTTTCTCAGACTCAGCATGACCTTCTGTGTAGCTGCAAAATCAAAGTAGTAAATTAGCAATTTAGAAGTTCATACGATGGTCAAATATGTCAGGAGACCAAAGATTACATAGATTTGTGACCTTATTGGACACAGTTGCTATAGAAAAGTTATGCCCACATTTTCTTTATTTCTCAGGAACTGAGTTTTCTTGACCATTAACTTAAACAGTAACTTGTAGCACCACTGAAGAAAGTAGACAAATCCATTCAGTGTGAGAAGAGAAAGAGAAATTGAAACACAAAAAAATCAAAATACTTTGTCATGTTTTCTTGGGCAATATTATCAAACTGAGACTGATTTTTGGTAATATTTAGAAAAAAGACCATCTGTGTTAGTGTAACAGATAAATGGAGCCTTGCAGGACATGCGTCTCATATTCTCCGTTTGTTCAAAACTTGCTGCGTTTTCTTGGCAGAGTTATCGATGGGCTGGGCCCTCAGTGGGACTTGGAAGACCTGGATTCCTGTTCTGATCCTCTTACTAGCCCATTATATAAACTTGGTCAAATTATTAGTTTTCCCATTTGTAAAAACATGATAATGCTAGTGCTACCTGCCTTGCAAAGCCCTTTGAGGTGTGTGCCTGAGGAAAATAACAAGAAAGCAGGGGTTGTTATGTTTGTTGAACTGCTAATTTTTTTCCTAAACTGGGACCATATACATTCTTGAAAATTTCCAGTGGTGCTGAGCACACATGACTTTGCGGGATCCAGCCTGTAAAACAGGGTTAGCACTCACTCAGGGTGGTAATCCCCAGAGCTGAAGAGCATTTTTAGAGTGTTGAATTTGATTAAAACTGAGGTTCCACAGAGGATGGCAAATATGGCAGATAAGTCCTAGCTTAAAAAAATGCCAAACTGCTGTAGGCACCTTATAACTTGAAAGCATAAACAGCGACTTAAAGCAAAGCAGGGAAACATGACTCTTTATGCTATTTTTTTCCTCTGCTACTCACTCTTTTGTGCCCTCCTTCAAAAGTGCCTGCAGGCAGAATACCTCTGACTGTAATCTTGACAAATCTCCCCAACCACAGGGGACTAGCATTCAGTTAGGAGCTTTCAAAGGAAGCTGCTACTGTAGAAAGAGATGGTGATTTCCTTCACTGTGAATCTGCTCTTAACCTGTGCTGTAGCATAGTATCAGGAGATACTGCTGGTCTTTCCAGAGAAGCATGAGATCTTGTTAACAAGTCTCTTAGCATTTTTTAAACACAGTGGTGCCGACCCTGTGCCAAATTCCTTGTGGGTAATTGCATTTTACATGCCTGAATTTTTAGTAGTCTGACATTGTTCATTTTTTTTCTGTCCCCTACTACTTCGTAGTATTTATAATGATTTTATAAACATCTTCTGTATTTCACCATGGGCAAAACTGCACTTCATTCTCACTTGAAGTGATTGCTGTCTCTAAATTTATGAAATATGACCAGTGAAGGAAGCTGGTGAATCCTAACGTATGGGTTGTTCTTTTATTAAAGGAGAACCACTGGTCTGTGAATGACCTTGTGCTCTGTTGCTGTTATCTGCCCAAACTGTGCTTTTTTCTTTTTTTACAATAGTTTGCATGGCACTAAATGTGCTATCCGTTGTGAAGAAGGAAAATACCATAATGGTAGAGAATGTGAACCATGCCACCGTTCCTGTGAGACATGTGCAGGTACCCCACTCACATTTATGTGCATCGTTTCCTTTCCTCTCTATTTTTAACTCTGATTTTATTCTACTCTATCACAGTTGCACTATCACATGATTGTTTACATGTAAAAACTTAATTCTCATTATAGTTCTTTAGTATATTTTAAATATAGCAGACCTTTCAGCTAACATGAAAATCAGAGTTTTCTGATTGAAATTGTGGATATACTCCTTTCTTTTTTTTCTTTTTTTTTCTCTTTTGTTTTTTCCTTTCTTGTCCTTCCTTCTTTCTTTTCCTTTTTCCTTTTTTCTTTTCGTTTTTTCTTTTTGCATTTTTCTTTTCTCCTTTCTCTTTTTTCTTTTTTTTTTTTTTTCCTCTCTTAGTAGATCTCATTCTGATTTCCAATAATGCCCTCCATTTTCTTTCTGGAATGAAATATTGACTGATAGATTTTGTGCAAGCTTCAGAACTACCAACAGCTATTTCCTTCAAAAAAAGATGTACTTAAATCATGTAATGCTGTTTCTTCTAACCATGCACCTTTATTGCTTGATGCTACGTTTGAAAGAAAGCTGGGCAGGTAAAACATAGTCTCTATAAGAGTTTGCTACAGTTAGAGATAGTGTCTGTTAGGCAATAAAAGGAACTAGCCACTAATATAATGTATCTTCTGTCTGGCTTAAGGTGCTGGGGTAGATGCCTGTATAAACTGCACACAGGGTTATTTTATGGAAGATGGAAGATGTGTCCAGTCTTGTAGTAGTGGTTATTATCTTGATCACTCTACTGAAAGCGGATACAAAAGCTGCAAAAGGTATGATCGGTGGCTAGTATATGTGTCTGATGTTTGGCAATGTATTAGCTATTACTGTGTTGAAAAAGATAATACTTATGAGAACAAAAAACAGTGCTGAACTCAAAAAATAGGAAGAACATATTGCATGCTAAGCAAATGAAGGAAAAGTAAGGTTTTTTATTTTAATCTGAGTTATATTCATGCAGGTCTTTTTTAAAAAGTGTTTAATGTTTTTTCTTGCATAAATATGCATCCCTCACTTTAAAAAAGCCTGTAGTGACAATCTAAGTAGATATGCATAGAAATGTGAAATCTACAAACCTGGCAGAGGATCAACATTTATCAGCAACAAACCAAAGTAGTCAAACTAGGCTTTTTTAATTGCAAGTTAATACTGTTCATAAGGACCATTTTAGGTGTTCAGCTGCATATTCACAAACATGGCACAAGTATATTTCCAGACTGCTGTCCAGAATAGTTCACCTGACTCACTGTACAGATTGGTGGATAAATCTTGGACAAGGCTGTGCTGTGCTGTGCTGTGCTGTGCTGTGCAAGGATGATCAGAGGGCTGGAGCACCTCCCATATGAGGACAGGCTGAGAGAGTTGCGGTTGTTCAGCCTGGAGAAGAGAAGGCTCCGGGGGGACCTTATTGTGGTCATACAGTACATGAAGGGGGGCTACAGGAGGGATGGGGAGGCACTCTTTATCAGGGTGTGCAGTGATAGGACAAGGGGTAACAGTTATAAGCTGAAAGAGGGTAGATTTAGATTAGATATTAGGACGAAATTCTTTACTGTGAGGATGGTTAGACACTGGAACAAGTTGCCCAGAGAAGCTGTGGATGCCCCATCCCTGGAGGTGTTCAAGGCCAGGCTGGATGAGGCTTTGAGCAACCTGGTCTAGTGGGAGGTGTCCCTGCCCATGGCAGGGGGGTTGGAACTTGATGATCTTTAAGGTCCTTTCCAACCCTAACCATTCTATGATTGTATGATTTTTTTCTAATCCATTCTTTGTTAAACAAATACCATTTGTTGCCTTTTGGAATCCTTTATTATTGACTCACTTTGAGTTCAGGGCAGGAAGGGAATCAGGTGTGTTACAGTTTTCCACACAAAAAAAAAAAATTTGATACATGATGAAAATATGATGTTGCCAGAAGGGTGATGAAAGGTCTGGGCAGCAGGTCAGTCTTCCTGTGTCTTTAGCTCATGCCTTGCTGGTGTATGTACACATGATCAGTTTAACGCTTTTATTGATTACTTCTGCATAGTTCCAAAATACTAGAATAATGCAGCTATTTAGTAAAAAAGTGTGAATTGAAAGTGCTTGGAAGAAAGAAGCAGGGCTGGGTTGGAGGGGAAGTTAATTATTTTTTATTGTTAATAGAGCAGCTAGTACCTCTAGAAACAGCTAACAAGCCCTTTGGAATACAGAAGAGGTCTCCTAGGAACTCTTGTATTTGGTGAGGCCATAAAACCAACTCCTGACATTGTCTTTCAGGTGTGATGCCAGCTGTTTGGATTGCAGTGGTCATGGAGACAGAAACTGTACGAGCTGTCCAAGCGGCTATAACCTAGACCATGGTGTCTGTGTAGTGGGAACAGTCTGCAAGGATGGTGAGTGCAGATCTCTGAAAAGATCTGGTTGACCACTGACAGCTTCTTCTTTTACATGAATTGGGTTGGTTTGGTCTTTTCTTTTATTTTCTTACAATCTTGATTTGAGGTCTACATTACTTCTTAATCTTTTCATGTTTATGAAAAGGAGAAAACTACATTTGCATGTATTAGAAAAATTAGTCACATCCACTTTACCCGAGTTTTCCTGAAATAGTTTTCCCCTCTGCCAACAACCTAATTTTACTTCCATATCTTTTTTTCAAAAGCCATTGCTTTCAAGAGATTTTTATATGGAGACCCTAGTGTGCTCAGTAGAATCACAGTTATCTATTTTACTACTTTAAACTGTGAAACTGATGGTAAGTAAAAAGGATTTTAAGTGCCTATGGTATTGCTTGAATTATATAAAAGGGTAATGAGAACAAAAGAATTCTGAAATAGGGAGCACCCAATTTATGGTGGAGATTTGAACTTCCTCCAAGTTCTTTGTGGCAACCAAGATAGCATTCTTACTGCATTTATTCACTAATATTCATTCCTTTCAAATGTCACAATTACAGACACTTAGGTAACATTGTGCTTCCCAAAAAAATGATACTATGTCAATTACTTGTAGATACAGCCCAAAAAATGCAACCCAGAAGTAAACAACACAAACAAAGCCCATTGTTAAGCCAGGTGGAAGACACTTAACATCAGATGTACAAAAAACTAACAATGACTCTTGGGTCCAGCTTATTTATGCCGGATTTCATAAGAGTTTTACCAAAGACCTAAAAACAAAAAAAAAAAACAACAAAAAAAAAAAAAGAAAGAAAGAAAAGGTGCTGGGTTGAATCTTGTTTCTGTGGACCTTTACAGCTCCTGTTGCAATTTATGCCTTCAAACTTTGCAGAGTATCCTGTCCATCATAAAGTTACATTACAGGTATGGGTAAACCAGTCATGAGACCTTTTCGCATCAGGACATTAGCACGTGTTTGCAACATTCTAGGGTAGCCAAGGAAAGTCTACAAGGGGGTTTTTTCCCGTTAATTTGTGAAGTGTAGAGGATCTCATTTCGTTGCCTGACAGTCAAGCACTGGTTACTAGTGTAACTCACTCTATAGGATTTGCATTTCTGTTGAGAGTGTTTTATTCTTTTTCTGTGGTTTGACTGGTTTATTCTTTTGATTCATAAAAATTGAGAACAAATTCCTTTGCTGTAAATATCACTGTTTTCTAATTATTCTCTTTCTAATCTTTTTTTCCTTTTCACAAATGGATACCAATCATTCCCTGTTGGACCACAAAATACTCTTCCTGAAAAAAAAAAAAATGCTGTTGACTGAAATTCCTTTTGATGGACCAAATTTCCTACTTGCTACCTGCTCCTGAATGGTCTCTTCAACCAAATCTGCCTGTCTGACCAATTAAACCTTCCTCCATTGTACACGCCATGCTCTCCAAATCTTCAACCTCCCCTCCTTCTCTTGCTGCTGCCCTCCGGAAGCCACGGAAGAGTCCTGGGCCGAGGGAGGATTCTGTATGCTGGTCAAAAAGAACAATCTCTGCCAGCGGAAAGTGCTTCAGCAATTGTGTTGCAGAACATGTACGCACAAGGGGTGAACTGACACTTCCCAGGATCCTCCTGTTCCTGTAGACTTATAGATTAATCCGTATTATTGAAAAAGGAAAAAAGATTTAAAAAAAAAAAAAGAAAAAAAAAAGAAAGCCACCTCTCTCTCTCCCCCCTCCCCTCTTTGTCTGGGGAGATAGTGAACTGTTTGTTGGAACTTAAATAGAAAAACTACAACACGCCTACCTTTCATAACTGGGTGTCTAGAGCTGAGCATCCAGGATCACAGAGTCAGTATTGTGTGACCAAAGCATTTGATGCCAAAATTAAGATTTAACTCATGATTTGATTTCCTGTCAACCTTAGGATTATTCCTGTTTTTTTGAAGGTCCTTTTTCTTCCCTTTTTTTCCTGCTTTTTTCCCCTTCAAGATGTTTAAAGAGTATTTCAAGAATACAACACAAGTTTACATGGATTAAAACTAAACAATACGAAAATGTTTGCATAAGTCTTTTTGTGCTATGTGTATTGACAGGGGGAACTTAAGTTCCTGAGGGGATCAGAAACATCATTAGTTGCAGGACTAAGTTCTGCCCCTTTTGTAAGAGTATTTAAAAAAAAAAAAAAGTGAACATTTCTGCACACATTTATTTCTTACTTCTTCTGCTGTGTGCTGTTTTTTGTATCACATGCAGTATGTATATATGTTTGCCCAAAATGTGGTTTTGGTCATATAGATTTCATTTTTAGACATCTAGCTTATTAACAGATATGCTAGGATTTTTATTTTATTTTTTTAAATTGTCAAAACTATTTCAAATAAACTTTAAAAAAAAAATTGTTCCTGTAGTGAACAAATTGAAAAGATACTACTTCTCTTGGTTTGCATAAGTGAGAGTAATGTATACACTCGGAATTCAGAAAACATTGATGACATGTAAGAAGAATTCATAAGTTATTGTTGTCGTGTAATGTTCACAAAAAAGGGGATATTATCGTACAGATATGTGGAACTATTTCATAGTGTCCATACATAAATGCCAGTGTGACTATATGCAACAGGATGTGTTTACAGGACTGGATTTATAACTGTGCCAAATATATCTCCAGGAATAATTACATATAGGGCAATAAATCGTTGGATCTTTTGGTGTAACAATCATGTCATGATGGGCCTGGATCTGCTTTTAACTGCTCACAATAGAAATTTCAGCAGAAGTAGTCCTGCTGAGGCCAATGGAGTTACCTCACTGTAAAACCATCCTGGGTGGTGAGAGAAGCGGCCCCTGCCTTTCTCTTTTTACCCAAGCACACGGCTGCCAGTACAAATTTCTGTTTAATATATCTTCGTCATCTTCACTTAGCATGCTGTTCAAGAAACAGTCATTTAGCAGAAAATGGAAAATTGAACTTCAAAGATACTGTTTTCAGGGGATAATAATTAAAAAATACAGTGTCTTTCTCAGTTGTATTTACAGTTGTCTTGCCACAAATAGAAAATGGATTGCAGGCATTTAAGCATGTAAATGTTAGAAAATAAAGGGGATCAAAAATGATTTGTGGAAGTTTTATAAACTAATTGGTACAAGCCTATAGAGGTAATGTGCCACATTTAGCAGAGAGCAGATAAACTACTACAACCTGGTTTGGTATGACAGGGGGCCAATCAAGCTCCTCTGGTGCCCATTACAAATTTCCTGATAAACATTCAAATTTAAAAGAATTCAGTTTGTGCTAGTTTAATTACTAGTCTGTTACTGCCTCATTTCTCAGTATAACATGTTTAACTAGAACATAATGCTTTCAAAGTTTAAGTTAATATTATATATATTATATA